CTGGTCTGGCCTCCCCTTCTAGGCTAACCTCTACCTCCCCGATCTCCACCTCAAGCTGGATGAGCAGGTGGAGTAGTGACGGGTGCTGTAACCATAGTCTAAGGACCCGGTAGAGCATGCGGTACCTGAGAAGTCTGTGGAGGTACAATCCTCCTATGTCTGGGGAAATCCCTCACCATATATATGGAAGTTTTGCCATACTCAAAAAACGCTATGGGATGACATGGCTGTTGTGACTGGCTCGGGCTAGGTTTGCTGGACTGATCGCTGGAAACACTTCGTGCATGAGGCACACTAGATACTGGCGATGCATAATAAGGCTCCTGGGGCCTAAAAGTAGCCGGAATACCACTGGCGGCTGGAAGAGCTGAACGAATGGGGCGACTCACATAGCCCCTACCATGTCGAACTGTAGTTGGGGCACGAGTACCAATATAAGAACTAGTCTCTTAAGACCTCTTGGCCTCTCTCTCCTCCCTCTCCCGAGTAAGCATGCCCTCCACTATCCTAGAAATACTCACACCTAGTAGTACGAAATAACCATCTCTAACTCCCAGGCCATGCTAGTCTTGATGCTGGGATAGAGCTCCTCGATAAACCGATGGACCCTCTCTCAAACTGTAAAAACCAATGTCGGTGCATGTCTGGCCAAATCACTATAATGAACTATATACTCTGACACAGTCATAGCACCCTAGCACAACTGCTCAAACTCGGCGCTCCATGCATCTCTGAGGCTTTGGGGAAGATACTCCCTAAAAACATATCTGAGAACTGAGTCCATGAAAGTGAAGCTGCCTTAGATGGACTGTCCAACTCAGAAGCACGCCACTACTGAAAGGCTGCTCCTCTAAGCTGAAATGCAGTGAAAGAAACCCTACTCGACTCCGTTATGCCCATAGTATGGAGGATGCGGTGGCACTCCTCCAGAAAGCCCTGAGCATCCTCTGTCGTCAAACCACTGAAGATAGGAGGGTAGTACTTCTTGTACCTCTCAAACCTATGCTCCTCCTCCTCAGAAACTACTTCTCTACCCTTGGGCTGAACTAAGGCTATTGGTGGCATCGGTATAACCTCTGGAATCTGATAGACTTAAACCCGCTACTCTAGGTACAGGCGGCATGAGTCTGTACTCCTCTCCTGGCCTGAGATGTGGCAGTAGCAAGTGGAATCAATGCAGCCTGAGCAAAGGTGCTGAACATGCTCGGAAACTGGGCTAGAGTCTCCTAGAGGGCTGGTGCAACAACAGGTACCTCATGTGTCGGTCCTCCAATTGGAGCTACTGGGGGCTCCTCTGTGGCAACTCGTGCGGGTGCTCTGACTCCACCAGGTAGACGTCTTCGGCCTATATCCCAACCCCGGCCTCTGACAGCTCTAGTAAGGGGAGCGAGTGCCTGGTCATCTGATCCGGATGTACGTATCATCACCATCTGTGAGAGAATAGAAGATAACAACAACAACAACCTAGTGAAATCCCACTAGTGGGGTCTGGTGAGGGTAGTGTGTATGCAGACCTTACCCTTACCCCGAAGGAATAGAGAGGCTGTTTCTGAAAGACCCTCGGCTCAAGAGGACAAAAAGGCCGAGAATAGAAGACAGAAGTTTAAAATTTTGAGGTCAACAAATTTCGCACGACAAGGAATCAAAAGAAGTGAAATTTTCCTAATAGTTCCATAGCCTCCCGAAGAGATATATGAACGTCTCCGCAAGACTCTACTAAACATGCTTGTAACTCATGACCTATGAACCTAGAGCTCTGATACCAACTTGTCATGACCCAAATCCTCCTTATGTTAGATGTCATGACGACACCTAGTCTCTGCGACTAAGTAAGCCTAACATTGCGGAATAATGAAATGAAAACATAGTTCGACAACTAGCTATAACAAATATTCTAATAAACGATAGAGATGTCGCTCGACATATACAATAACTAACTCTTAATATACACAAAAACTATCCAAAGACTCGGAATACCATAAGTCACAAGCTTCTAGGATTTATCTAACTATTCTGTACATTAGTATTTAGATGAAGTAATGAAGAACAACGCAAAAGAGATAAAGGGGGACTCCGAGGTCTGCAGACACGAGAAGATATACCTTGAAGTCTCCGAAGCAGCAGCAACAGTGCAACTAAAAACGAGACTGCTAGGAGGTACTTGGATCTGCACATGAAAACATGTGCAGAAGACTAGCATGAGTACACCACAACGGTACCCAATAAGTGCCAAGCCTAACCTTGGTCGAGTAATGATTAGGTCAGGTCAGTTCCCTACTGGTATATATATATT